GTCCAATTCATAGGTGTGTGTACAAGTGTGTGTCCGCGCGTGTGTGAGTTGGTGTGTTGATTTTGCACTCTAGATGTTTTAGAGTTTCACCCCTACCTTGCTGTGCAATTTTTTTCTGCATTGTGGGGGATTTGTAGATTGTACACACAAATATTTTCCCATTCATTTCCTATGGTCGGTCATTTTTGACTGAAGACCATGAGTGTGACTATTTGTTTTACGACCACTTAGCTTTTTCGAATCATGCCCTCAATTTTTTGGTGTGTTCACATACCAAGTGCCATAAAAGTCACCAAGTTTCGTACCATTCTGGTGAAGCTACGATTTTTTAAAAATCCAAATGTAAACTTCTCCGGTCAGAAATGACCGAAGACCGCACAAGGTTAAAGCTGTTTTGAGCAATGTATATTGTGAAAAGTTATACAAATGAAATGAATATATGAATAACTATGTTTTCAAATTTTACACCCTTCTTTTTCTTCATTTAGTGTTTTTGCAGCTTTGCACTAATTTGAGGGCGTGGCAGAGATCATGGTAGAAATGGCCACTTCTATTGCTGCTCTTTCTATTGTAAGCAAGCTGTTACTAGAGAGCACATCCCACAAAGAAAAGACTGTGAACCTGGACAAATATGTTGGTGCACTGCAGCAGGAAACAAGCAGCTGAAGGAGATGTGTATGAGAAAGCAGAACCACAAAAGAAGAGGGACTCTTAGGCTTTACAGTGCAATAGAAAGATCCCTGCAAAAGCGTCTTCTAAGACTGCGAAGAGAGCTGGATTTTGAGGAGGGTTTGTCTTCACTGAAGGGGAATGCAGACATTTAAGAAAACGGTGCTTGACAGCTTTTCTGCGAGGAACATCTCAATGTAAATGGGGTTCAGCCAAGTCTCTCGATTGACTTAGTGTCTCATGGTTTCTCAGCCTGCACTTTCTCCAACGTTTATTCTTACTGCTCTATTGTTTAGTTAATTTGTGCAATGGCTGAACACAAGTTCAAGCTTAAATGTTTGAAGCATTTGCGATGCCACTTTTTAAGTCTCTAGTCTCTTACAAAGACAACAATAAAGAGTGTCATTTCTTTGTAAAAGGTGAGGATATGTTTGACCGAAGATGCACTAACATGTTATTCCCAGGAGGATATTCTATCCTGAATAACACAAGACTTGGGTGTTGCCCTACGAATTTAATGTCTTAAGTTATTATAACTGAGCTTAATTGTCTACCACTGTAAACTGTTGCACAGGTGCACATGCAGTAATTGTTTATGGTTCACTGAATCCTTCCCAATAAAGAGCTGTAAAGCTTATTTGGATTTTACTAAATAAAATACAGTATTATGAAAAGGGACTATTTCTTTTAAAGGGGCAACCCTAATCAAACTTAGCTTGTTCATATGTGTTTAATTCCAGACGAAACGTATAGCATTCCAAAAAAACAACATAAATGAAATAATAATATAAAGAAAATATAATTACAAACAAATGATATAATACAAACAAATTAAACCGTTTCAATGCCTTTAGATTAGGGACTACTTCTTTTAAAGGGGCAACCCTAATCAAACTTAGCTTGTTCATGTGTGTTTAATTCCAGACGAAACGTATAGCATTCCAAAAAAACAACATAAATGAAATAATAATATAAAGAAAATATAATTACAAACAAATGATATAATACAAACAAATTAAACCGTTTCAATGCCTTTAGATTTTTTTCATTTTTACTAAGGGCATCTGAGAAATGTCTAAATACAATAAACAAAGGAGGAGATTTCAAAAGATCTACATTTATGTATAAAGTATTGAGCTCTTGCCTCCTGTACCAAAGTTATGATCGTCACACCTGCGACTCTTCGCACTGCGCATGCGCGTCTGTCCGGCGCATGTTGATGACACTGGGGCGACATGGCGGTGCTGCTGGAAACAACGTTAGGTGATATCGTGATCGATTTATACACAGAAGAGAGACCGAAAGGTGATTAATAATAGCATTAATAACAGACGAAGGGTTTAAACGTACTTTCTATGATACACGCATGATCATTTAATACAATCAACAACGCTACATGTGATAAATATAAGAGATCTCCGTAGGAACTTTTTATGTTTGGTAAATTCCTGATAGTTGTGCTGGAATAACCAGAATTTAAGTCGTTTCGCCGTTATATTATAATTACTGTACATGGTATATATCGTTTCTACATAAAGCATGGTACTGAACGATAACATAATTGTTCTTCTAATTTGCAGCGTCGCTGAACTTCCTGAAACTGTGCAAAATCAAATATTACAACTACTGTCTGATTCACAATGTTCAGGTAATATCATACATTTATGTATCTCTTTCATTCTGTGAGCATTACAGGTGTCATATTGTACGTTTATAATATCATATTTGTTAAATATTTTAGGTCTATTTCCTTTAAAACCATTATTAGCTAATACACAAAATGCTCACATTTCAATTGGAAGTAAAATTTTGAGTTCTGAAGGTTACACTCATGGTAAAATTGCATTATTATATGATTCGTTATGATATGATAATACATTTAATGCAAAGTTATTGCACACATGGCTGCAAATTGAGGTTGTGTATGGCAGTAAGGCAGTGAGTTTTGCATATGAAGATGTTGCATCTGTTGCGTCCCCCGCTGCAGAGAGATTTCATCATTCAGACGGGTGACCCCACCGGCACGGGGCGAGGAGGAGAGTCTGTGTTCTGGTGGGGATTATTAATGCATTAATTTAATTAAAATATATGTGCTAGCTGAATGCGCATGCATGTATTGTGTGGTGATGATGTTTGTGTGTTTGTAGCAAGCTGTATGGCGATCAGGCACACTTTTTTGAACCTGAGAAGATGCCTAGGATCAAGCATAGAAAGAAAGGGACGGTGTCTATGGTGAACAATGGCAGCGACCTGCATGGGTCTCAGGTTAATTGTGAACACATTTAATACACAAGTGTCGATGTCAGTATTGTTTATGGGCTTTGAGTATGATTGATTAATAAATTTTTTTTTTTCATTTGGCTCCCAGTTTCTGATCACCGCAGCAGAGAATCTGGATTATCTGGATGGTGTTCACACTGTGTTTGGAGAGGTCACGGAGGGTATGGACGTGCTTGCTAAAATCAATGAGACCTTTGTAGACAACGACTTCATCCCTTACCAGGACATCAGGTAGGACAATGTTTTTAGAGAGCGAGAGACTGACCGGTTTCACGGTACATGACGGTGTATTTTTTTTTCATGCATGACCAGGTGTTAACCATATTTTCTACTGATTGAGAGGAAATACTGCAGTATATTGACTTAGAATGCCCTATTTTACTGTCATGATGAGTGAATATTGTCAAAAAATACCACACTAAATAGTGACTAAACACGACCCCTTTTAATACATGTTAACCAGGAGTCACTCTCATTTATAATCGCGGCATCGTCTGATAAAATCAACATGCATCTACACTAAAGAGCAGCTATGCGGTTGTTTTGGCTATATTACTTTTTTGTCTCATGCAGCGCACTGCCTGCGTCTGAGTAACAAACTAAAAAAAAACAACAAACAAAAAAGTGCATGTGATATTAACAGAAGAACTACGCTCATATTTATAATTCCAAGCAATCAGTAAGCGACAGGTGCTAGGAAACACTGTTTTGTACTCATTTATTGACGAGTCGGCTGCGCTGCTTCTCTGCCGCTAAAGCCTGGTTTACATAGGCCTAATAAATAATAGTCTGTAGCATTCAAATTCAAATAGCCAACATTGTGAATATGGAAACATTTGGATTCGTGCCAAATGAGAGAGTAAGAAAGAGGATTATAGGGCCAAACAAAAAAAAAACATCTCCAGAATAACGTCATTAGCCTATAATGCGAGATTAAACTCCTTAAATGTCCAGAAAAATGTAGAAATAAAATATTGAGAATAAAAATAATTAAAGCACGCGTGTCACCTGATCCACAAATGCACATTTTAATACATGCACAAATCATGATACTTTGATACAAACTGTAACATTTGTATTCCCAAATATGTCTCTATTTGAACAAAATGCTGCACTTTAATGTTATTCTTAACTCTGCAGACACCGGTTGAAAAGCATTTGTTTCAGTGTAGTGACGCACATTTGCGAATTTTTCAAATCGTGTACACGTTAATGAATTGCACTGGGCCTTGTTTGTTGGTAGTTGTGTGTGTGTGGGGGACGTGAAATGCTGTAAACTGCGAAAAATGAAGTCTCAAAATCCAAATGAACCGAACAAGATCGACTCGAACTAGACGTCAATTAATGCACGCGTGTCACCTGATCCACATATGCACAGATTCCTTTTTGCATGAGCAATTTATGATATATTAATGCAGAACAGAACATTTTTATTCGCAAACATGTCTGTATTTGTAAAAATCGTTGCACAAACATTTAATCCTGAATTCCACAGACTCAAATTGAAAGGTATTTGTTTGTGGTTAGTAAGATACATGTATAAAATGTATGCAGTTCATGGATAATTGTGCGTGCATCTATTAATCATTTTGAGCCTAATATCATCCCATAGTTATGTCTGTGAAGGTAAACTAAATAAATCGCATGTTTATTTTAGATCTGTGTGGCAGCAGCAATATACAGTAAATAAATCAATAAATGCACTGCTCTGTTGTCTCCTCTGAGGCTGGGACTCTAAACAGTGTTCTGTGCTCGTCTGTGCAGCTAAACACAGAACAGTTAGCATGCTTTGCTCAAACTTTCATCATGGCATTAGAGCTGGTACACCGTTATCGCTTGTGAAATCACAATAACGGTGCTGTGGGTGGAAACTTACAGATGAAGGGGCGGTAATATTATAATGAGATCCCTTTGCCACGTCACCAAGGGAGCGAAATCTGACGCGCTCGTTTTCTCAGACGCTTGCAGAAAAAGGCTTCCCAAAACAAAGTTACTGGGTTAATCTTTTTCACGTTTCCTTGGCTGGTAGATGCACCGGGGGACCTGATTATAGCACTTAAAACCTAGAAAAGTCCAATTTTCATGATATGTCACTTTTAAACAATGAGTGAATGATTCAGTGACTCACAAAGATTTGTCATCACCAACAAAAAATCCCTGCCCCTAATGCACAGACTGACTGGAGCACACAAACATAGACAACCGCAGTGATGCCAACAGTGAAAAGTCCTTATATCAGCTCTCAGTCAGCGAGCTGGAATGTGGACAATATTTATATAAATAAAGCTCAATTATAAGAGTCACATGTTTTGGCCACTACATAATACCCATAGTTTAGTTTGTCTCATAGTTTTGAGGTTTGGGTGGTTCACATTCATAGATCAGATTCATAAGGGCTATAGACCAAACATCAGTTTCTGTGCCTGTGGTTGCAGGATTAACCACACAGTGATTCTGGATGACCCGTTTGATGATCCTGCGGGCCTCCCGATTCCAGACCGATCGCCTGAACCCACGAAGGAGCAGCTGGATGTGAGTCTTTATTCAGTGCATAACCCTAACCCTATATTACATTACTGTGAGGCGGCAGATTTCTGCCAGCTTAGAGGTGATATTTGCAATAATTTCAATGATTAACATACAGGATTAACTATAAGTAAGCCATTTGTAGTTCGATTCGTTGGGCTGGGGATCGGCAATGATTTCCTGATTTAATTAAATTTTCATTCACAAGCTCTTCATTCGTTCATTTGATTAAACGTTGCATGATGGCTGCAGTGCATGACATGCATTGTGACTGTAACATAGTCAAGGTTTACTTTGTCTTTCTTTTTTTACCCTAAATATTTCCTAAAAAACATTTCCAAATATTTTTGGTCATTATAGGTTACTTGTTGGTCTTCATTTATAAATAATAAATATGTGTTTAGTTTAGGTATGAGTGACCCTAAAAGCGGAGGGTCGTGTGTGCATGATATTTTATAAGTATTATTAAAAAGCATTACCAAGGTCATCAGTTTAGTGCCTAGGAAAATCCATAAATGTGTATAACGTTTAACATTAGGTTTATTAAACGTATCACGCTATGCATTCTCTTCAGTGCCCTTTAAACATCGTAAAATCAGTGTAACACAGCCTTGAGTGGCTTAATGCTTAAAAAAAAAAACTAATTGCATAATAAGTGTGTGAAGGGGGGTACTAGTTAATACATAAATAGCAGGTAATGTTAAGAAATTGTGGTTTTTGGTTTTTAACCCCTTAACTGTCACCGTCCCACCTGTGGGACGTTTGGCGCTCTTTTTTTGTTGTTGTCTTTTTTCTCTATCAAATCTTTTAGTAATCATCATAAATCATATATCATTTGAATATATCAATAGAAGTAATATTGACAGAGAAATAGACATTTGTGGCAGAAAAATGCATTTAAAAAAATTCAATGGAGTTTGGATGGCACCCGAAATTCCACTTTTGTGATAATTTGCTGATTTTCTTCTTTAAAAAGAGACCAACCTTATGTCTGTATTCCAAAGTGTTCATAAATTACAACAATTTAAGTTTGGATAGTGCACCTGTATGCCTATTTTAAAAAATGGGGGGGTGACAGTTAAGGGGTTAAAAGTGCTCTGTTCTTCATTCTAATGTGAATAATTCACGCTTATGCATTTTTTCAGAGTGGTCGGATTGGAGCAGATGAGGTGATAAACGCTGAAGAGGGGAGAGACGCTGAGGAGCTGGATGAACAGATAAAGGACAAGGAAGCAAAGACACAAGCCATTTTACTGGAAATGGTAGATTTCATCACTTACACATTAACATATAACTTCAACTTGTATTTATTTATATAGCACATTTAAATACAACTTTGTTGCCCAAAGTGCTTCACAAACATTAAGAATAAAAATCAAACACACACACATAACTTGCACACAAATAAAACAGACAATTGTAAGGGTTCCCATAATCAAAATTTCCCTACTTCAAAAGCCAGACTAAAAAAAAATGTCTTCAGCTGAGACCTAAAATCCTCTATAAAAGATAGAGTATGTCTACAGTGAGTGATGTCTATAGACATCTCTTTCATGATCTATATAACTTCAACTTGTATTTATTTATATAGCACATTTAAATACAACTTTGTTGCCCAAAGTGCATCACAAACATTAAGAATAAAAATCAAACACACACGCATAACTTACAGACAAGGTTTCCCATAATCAAAATTTCCCTACTTCAAAAGCCAGACTAAAAATCCTCTATAGAAGATATAAACATATAGACATCACTCACTGTGGACATCTCTTTCATGATCTGAACGTTTGTTTCTTGTTAAAGGTGGGTGATCTGCCAGATGCAGATATTAAACCTCCAGAGAACGTGCTGTTTGTGTGCAAGCTGAACCCAGTGACCACAGATGAAGATCTAGAGATCATCTTCTCACGTTTCGGAGCCATTAAATGGTGAGATAATAGAAAATGTCCCCGCTGTATTACTTCCAATGATAGTCTGACTCATAGTTGTGGTTAAACAGTGTGGGTAATGATTAGGGCTGTTCACTGAAAGACCACATGTTTGGACCTCTGCAAGGGTTGAACCAAGAACTCTCTTAAACAAAGCATTTAACTGGGGACTTTGTTCTTTTCCCGTTTCACATATGCACAGTCTCTCATTAAATGTCACATTAATTTCTGTATATTATATACATGGTAGCACTTTAGTTTAGGGAGCAGTTCTCACTGTTAACTAGTTGCTTCTTAGCCTGCATATTACTAGCATATTGGGTGTTTATTAGTACTTATAAGAGTGCCTTATCCTGCATGAACATATTTTAGATCCCTTAATCCGACCGCATACCTAAACTAAACAACTACCTTGCTAACTATTAATAAGCAGCGCATTAGGAGTTTGAGGCAAAATCATAGTTAATAGTTTAGTTAAGAGTGAGAATTGGACCCCAAACTAAAGCGTGACATTTTGTAAACATTTTTTTTTCTGTCCTGTTCACAGACTTGAAGTGTATAAGCACAGTAAAAGTCTTTTTTTGTGCAAAGGTGTTATTCTGACTATGCCATATATTTATTTTTTTATGGATTTGTTTATTAATTTTATTATTAATTTCATCCTGCAACACATTCTACTGGTACAGTTTTAGCAGTAGGCTGTATGTATGGAATGTCATAACCCATATCCCACAATGCAGTGTGCTCGTCATGACCTTCCATTTCAAATATTTCATTTGAACTGGAAATAATATCAACTTCTTGACTGCACAACATAACACTGCATAAAAAATGCTTTACTTCTGAGATAGGATGCAACCAGCTGAACTAAACATGCAGCGTAAAGAGGTTATGTGACAGTGAAGGCCACTAAAATACTGCTGTTTGAATATTGTTTCACATAGTTGTTTAATAGTCTAGTGAGCAAGTGCTAGTTTTAAGTTCTGACCATAGCTTGTGCCTTAATCTTACTGTGTGTGTGTGTATATATATATATATATGACTTTGATCTGACATGTTAATGTTCATTTGCAGTTGTGAGATCATCAGAGACTGGAAAACAGAAGAATCTTTGTGCTATGCTTTCATCGAGTTTGAAAAGGTTTGTAAAGTCTGTTCTGTGTATCTGCCATCTTTGGAAAAAAGTGCAACGTTTCTGAGCAAGCTGTTAAAATCCAGCTGCCAAGTTTTGAAAAGTAGACAAGAATGGTTATGCAGAAGTTATACATCCAAATTCACATGCACACATTTTTAATACTAAATATAGATATTTCTAAGTTTTGTGCAGTTGTAGTCCATAGATAAATATCCGTGATAAATCCTGATGAAACCTAGGTATATTCAGAACTGCAAGTGTTAGTGATTGGTGTTAAGCAAGGCCTGTGTGTAATAATACATTGCTGCATCAGCTCCACACATCCCTTCAAATGTTCATAACTTCTAGATCATCAAACATCTAGTCAAATTCATTGAAACATCTAGTGAAATTCATTCAAAGTCATGAAATCAGTTTTTTATTATTATTTTCGGTGCACTTATCTTAGTATGTTTTTTTTTTTTTTTTTTTTTTACAAGACGTAAGTCATAATGTAGAT